CACGTCAATATTATCGTACTATTTATTTAGAAACCGTGTTGGGAGTAACGTGAAACAAAAGTAATGTAATCACTGTAATGTGTAGCTTTTAGCTGTAAGGCATTCAGAAAAACATGGTTAATATTTCAATACTGTAGGGTGAGAAAATGTCGATATCACACATAACTTAATGTACCTGATATCGGAGAATTGGATCAAAAACAACCATGGAATAAATACAATAATTGATAATAGCTTTATTTAGGGGCACCAGGGAATAACTCCCAACTGATAACGTGCATAAGACGTCACAATATCAATTAATTGGCTCATTTATTGATTAAGTAATCTCATGAGTCCTTTCATTATTTAATTAAGCCTGGTTCACACGAGACGATTTTAAAATTGTCGGCCAATTTTTCTCCGTGTTAGACCCCACACGGGGAGATTAAAAATCCTGCGTCTAACCACTTTGGTCGTGCAGTGTGTGGTGCGTAGCCACACGGCAAGATCACGCAAGCCACAAACATCACACACGAACCGACACCCCCCCCCCCGAGCATTCCCAGGTCAGACGGAAATCTCACAAAATCTCTCGAGATCAAGCGTGACTTCAGAGTAAACAGTCATGGCGGACGAAGAGGATGCAGTGGCGATAGTGTGCAGTTTGTTGTTAATAGAGAAGACACGTAATCCAAAGAAAAGGCAATGGTCAAAGCCATGCTGCTGTGTTTTGTTTTTTTTTCGGTGTTTCCTCACCGGCTTGTCACCTCGTCTTCTTATTGGCTACACGCCGTAGTCATGGCAACGCGCTCGCTTGTCCTCGGAGGACACCACATACGACAAGAAATTGGGCCAAAACAATCCAACATGTTGGATATCCCCGATTTGAGATCGGGATAAGTCCCGATGTCCTTCCGAGCGACGAGTGCAGTCTTAACACACCACACACGGCAGGATAATCTGTAAGATTTTGTTACGGAAATCGGAGCGTTTCTTAAGATTGTCGTAAGGGGTAAATCGGGTCTAAATCGGCCTAAATATCCTGCCGTGTGAACCAGGCTTTAGCTAGTTAGTCCAATTCTCTTCAATAGAATCTGAAGGTAGTGAATTCTTTTACAAATCAGTGACCCAATTTCTGGAGTTAAAAGTACAAATATCACTTTCAGACAAAGATGGTTTTGTAGATTTAATGAAGTATACACAATACAGACTAGATATGAAATATGCAAATTGTCAAGAATAACATGAAGGAAACGTTGATTTCAAGATACATTGTTAAAATGCTAGGCTAAAGTGAGCTTTTGTGTCCAGATCCGTAAACAAAGCGAGAGGTTGACACAACATAATTTTGAAGCAGAGCTCTCAGCAGGAAGTAGAGCTCTCAGTAGGAGGCGGAGTTCTCAGCAGGAAGCAAAGCTCTCAGTAGGAGGCGGAGTTCTCAGCAGGAAGCAAAGCTCTCAGTAGGAGGCGGAGTTCTCAGCAGGAAGCAGAGCTCTCAGTAAGAGGCGGAGTTCTCAGCAGGAAGCAGAGCTCTCAGTAGGAGGCAGAGTTCTCAGCAGGAAGTAGAGCTCTCAGTAGGAGGCGGAGTTCTCAGCAGGAAGCAGAGCTCTCAGTAAGAGGCGGAGTTCTCAGCAGGAAGCAGAGCTCTCAGTAGGAGGCGGAGTTCTCAGCAGGAAGTAGAGCTCTCAGCAGGAGAGGAAGTTCTCAGTAGGAGGCGGAGGCGAAGTTCTGCTGTAATAGAGCTCTATTGCTCATGTCACAGAGTTGGCTTTTAGTTTGTCCTAACTGTGTTTGAGACAATGTCAGGAGTTTTATAGCTAAGTCTGTGTGTATGCTCTATCTAGAGTTCACTGGAGTGGTTTTATTCAGATTAACTGGTAAGAATATTCGTCTGAGCTTTTCCATTCTTTGATGGAGATAGCTATGGCTATGGTAATAGCTGGAGGCAAAGATGCTTGTATTAGCTAATGCTAGGCTAGTAGCTGGAAGCTAATATCTGTAGCTATATGCTGTTATAATTGACAATAGAGAATGTATAAAATTTAATCTTAAAACAATTTGGAGTGTTGTTGAGGGAGGATACTTTCACTGAGACAATTCAACGTGGAGCCAAGTCTTACTGGCTTGATTTTGCCGCAATAATGACTCGTATTTGAGCATAGATTTTCCCAGAAAAGTGACTTTGAATCTCAGATATTCTTCTGTTTACTCTTTTGGTAGAGCGAAAGTATAAGCAAATACGCGCAACTGGAAATTATTAACCAGTGGTGGCTCGTTTTACTACTTGGTTTGACGATTTACATGCTGGACTTACTTGCAGCGATTTTTGCTTAACCGTGCTTGTGTGGGTAGCTAATCTCACATACAGGTCTTTTGCTAAAGGTTAACGGAGAGTCGCGTTAGACCTAGCTTAAAGATCGTGGGGGGTGTTGATCGGGCCCTGGACATCGCAGGTTGCCACTTACATTTACACCGAGACCCCTTTGATCGAGGGTTTACACGCTGGGGCGTACACGCAGCGATTTACGTAAAACATGCCTGTGTGGATGGCTAGTCCCACTTCAGGATCCTTTGCTAATGGCTAACGGAACGTCGCGTTTAGTCATAACTTTGAGATCAGGCGGTGTATTGAACGCCCCTGGAAAGTCGCAGGTGGTCATGTTCATTTACACTCGATGCCTCTTGGTTTTAAGCTTTACACGCTGGAAATCACTCGCAACCATTACGTCTTGAACTAAGTAAAGGAATAGCGCATGAATTTGCAGGTGTGGTTTTTGGAGCTGTTGGTCGAGCACAAAGCCATTAATGACTCCGTAAACTCTGCTGTCATCTCTAACCCTTCTTGACCTTCCAGGAGGTGCTGTGTGAGGGACATCTGATGAGTGTCTGTGGGGAGGGGCCGTGGACCCCCCTTCCCCCTCTCACAGCCTGCAGATGAAGTGCTCTGATTGGCCAGATGCTTTTGGCTCTTGGCACAGAGGTGTGACATTCTGCAGCAAGAGGAAAAGCCATCTTTGATTTGAAAGTCATTTGAATTTGGAGAATCGCAGCATTTAACTTTTAAGTTTTAACTTTGCGCTGGTAATGCGTTGGAGTTGTATGCATGTTTATGCTATACAAGAATAGATACTGTGAGTTTAGATTGGATTGCTCCGGTGAAGTACCTCAGTTTTCTTCGCAACAACAGCTTACAACAAGTTTGTCACATTGAATTTGTATGATTTAATTTCCGGAAATTAAGTTTGTTTTGCCCTCACTAGGGGCGCCATAATATGTAGGGTGAGAAAATGTCGATATCACACATAACTTAATGTACCTGATATCGGAGAATTGGATCAAAAACAACCATGGAATAAATACAATAATTGATAATAGCTTTATTTAGGGGCACCAGGGAATAACTCCCAACTGATAACGTGCATATTGATTAAGTAATCTCATGAGTCCTTTCATTATTTAATTAGCTAGTTAGTCCAATTCTCTTCAATAGAATCTGAACGTAGTGAATTCTTTTACAAATCAGTGACCCAATTTCTGGAGTTAAAAGTACAAATATCACTTTCAGACAAAGATGGTTTTGTAGATTTAATGAAGTATACACAATACAGACTAGATATGAAATATGCAAATTGTCAAGAATAACATGAAGGAAATGTTGATTTCAAGATACATTGTTAAAATGCTAGGCTAAAGTGAGCTAAGCAAGACCTTTGTCTATGAATGGATTGGTATAGGCTGAGGCCTGCATGTGTTCAGCCTTGCTAAGAGAAGTATTCTTTGAAGTATAGGATTTAATAAAGCCAACAGCTGTGTGTAGCAAGAGAGCAGATCATACAACCATCAAACAGCCTTTGGTGAATAGCAGTCCTTGGGTCTTGATGGTGTTGGATGGAGGCTTCTTGTCCCTGGGGCCTGGACCATGCGGCTGCATTATGTGGTCCTCCCACGATCCACAGTCTAGGTGCCAAAACTCAGCAACTTCTTCAGGTTGAAGCTGGAGGCTATTGAAGGGTTGTGGAAGTCCTCTCAGACGTGGAGCTGAGGTTTGAGGCCATCTAAGAGGCCCAAGGCCCCTTGGTTGCCTGAGCAGAGCCCAGGGAGGTCTGGTCACTCCATGGTTCCAAAGCAGACTGGTTTGTCTTCCCTGTGGGTCCTTGTACAGTAGGTCCCATTTCGTTTTGTCGCCTTTCACGCGTGAATAGCACGAGACTCACGTCTTTTTTTTTTTTTTTCCCCAGTGATGCTGCAATGACCCAAAAAACCACCAGGTGGCACTTGTGAGCAGTGCCATCTTGAGCTTTATGACACCCAGTCATAAGGCTCAAGTCTTTGGCGCAGGAGGACCTGGGGTCGAGTACAAGTTAAAGACTTTTGATACAACTCCCCAATCAGCACCAAGTTATGAAGATAAAATTATTCCACTTTTGTACTGGCTTTTTATCTTTGCAGGGTTAGGAACATTGTCGGAAAATCTTCTGCTTTTAACCTCTTAACTCCCACCTGAAACGTTTTCTCCAGTGTTAAATAAAAAATACTTAGTAATTAGGCCAACACATTTAAAATAGTTGCTAGACTGTAGTAAACTGTTGTAAACTTCACAATCTGCACCAACCAAACTGCAGGAAAAAAATGCAACTCTATTCAGTAACGGAGTACTCTGATTCATATACTCCCCCCGCTAATAAAAATTGAGGATTGGCCGGGGCTCGAACCCTGATCGTCCAAGCGAAAGTCTTGGACAATCCTGCTACGCCACACAGGCGCTGGAGAAAACACTGGATCTAATACGTAAGACCGCTGAGTGAATGAGCCGTGCGGATGTGCGGGACGCTTAAAATGCCTTATATGCAAGTTAATGCAAATGTTTGCCATATGATCTGCTACTCCTGTGCATTTTAGAATTCCTAATTAATGCGCACAGGCTCTTCTGTCTTTAGGACAGATAGATTTCAGATAGAAATTGCTACTAGAAAGGCGCTCTTAGACGCTGCTGTTGTAGCGAGGGCTGACGCAGCCTCATGCCGCTCCCGATCTCGGCGGAGTTTTTGAAGTGTACAGTAATTCTACCGAATACAATTACTCAAAATGAGTATTCTAACAATACTCATTTTGAGTAATTGTAATTAATAATTTTTGTAATTATACACAGCCTATATATTGCTAATCAAAGTAAAAGTATTCTGAATACAGTGTACACTCGTGTTTGTTTTGTTCCAATGTTTCACGTTCAATAACGCACTTGCTGCTGGCTATCCCATACTGTAGAAGAAGTCAGAAAGGAACTTTTGAGAAGAAGTGTTTTTATTAAAAAATAAGTAATAAAGTAAAATACAATTGTATTGTTACAGTACTTACAATACAGTGCAGTAAGTTAGTACAGTGTTTTACAGAGTCAATCCTTTGACTTTAAACCGCGTTTTGATAGGCCCGAAGTGAGCAAAAAATCCTTTTGACAAGGAAAGAAGATAACAAGCTGATAACGTTACGTAATTGCACACAAGCAACCAAAAGGTGTGCAACCAAAATTGCCTCAGACAAGAATCAAACCCAGATCCCCCGGGTCCTAACCTGCAACTCAAACCATTCGCCCAACATAGTATCACTAGGCAAATAAAGTTTGCACGCAGACTTATACCTGAGCGTTTAAGTCGCTGGCAGAGCTTAAGCGGACTTAACCTGCCACCTTGTGGCGATAAGATGTAATATGTTTCACGCAGCTGCGTGATTCATGAAAAGCGTGAATGAAGACGACAAAACGAAATGGGACCTACTGTAAGTCTTCACATCTTGTAGAGTCGTTGGGGGAAGGGTGTTGCCATGGCACTTATCTTAAGATATTCTTACCCACAATAAAACCTGAACCACAAGGATTTACACACAGTGGAGACAGAAGTTATAATATGTCTCAATATACAACAAAATGTCTTTGATTGAGGAAAGAGGTCATTTTAATTTATCCTACAATACGTAACATTGTATTTTAACCTAAAATGAAATAGTGTTTTGTTTTGCCACCGCGAGATCAGCAGAAGACACATCTGCTCACATAGTATTTGCCGAGAAGTGTTGTTCCTTTCTGGTATAAGATGCTGAGGCTGAACCAGAAGCAGCACCATGTGGACAATCGTACATTTTGCAGATGGACAGACTCATTATTTAGACTTTGTTAAAGATGTGGAACAGTTAAGTTTATGTTCAAACCAAAAGCTCCATCAACCTCAGCAGTAGCACAAGTAATTTGACAAAACATTTGGGCCGAAGCCATGTCAAAGGTATATAGGACATTTTTAATGAAAACTCTCTGGTCTTATTGGACGAGCACTTATCACCAGAATGATTGACAATTGGGATCCACCCAGAAGTAGAAAATCCTCCTATACACGGTGGCTGAGTGGATAGCACTCTCGCTTCTCAACAAGAAGGTCCTGGGTTCGAATCCCAGTTGGAACAGGGCCTTTCTGAGTGGAGTTTGCATGTTCCCCCTGTGTCTGCGTAGGTTTCCTCCAGGTGCTCTGGTTTCCCCTACCACTAAAAACATGCACAATGAATGTAAATGAGAGAGTGAATGGATGGTGTTGACTGGAGCTGATGGTCCAGTGTGTTCTGGACTCGCTTCTGTCATCACCGTGTGTGGGATGATTGGAACAATATCTGAACAATGTAAAGCGTTTTGGGTGCTATATAAATAAACATTACTTACTTACACCTTTAATATTAAGTTGAGGAGGCAAAAACAGACAAAACTGGCTATAAATAACTATTAGAACAGCGATATAAGGTCAATCTGTTTCCTTCAGGCTCACAACAGTAGAATTTATTTGTCATAAAACATTCTATTGTTGTTAGCCTTAAGCCTCGCCCTGCACTGGATGTGTGACGAGATGCATGTGTGGCAATACGGAGTGGAACATTTAATCAACAACGCCAGGGCATATGACACCCGAAAATGTTCCCAATCTGTTCTCTGATCTAAGGCACACAGGTAAGCTTATATTGACTGGACAAAGGCAGAAGTTCGACGATAGATGCTTCGTTTTTAATAGTGCAACATTTGTTCACATATGTCCTGCACATCAGTTCTTGTTCAGGCTTCTTGATTCCGCTTCTTGATTCCGTAGGACTGTGGTCTGCGCACTGACCACAGTCTCTCGGTCATTGTCCTTTGTTTTAGCAGCATCATTGTCTTTAAAAAGATTACATTGACTCATGTTTGTCCAAACAAGAAGGGGAGGCGGGCACACCGACAGCACCCTACAACATTAAAACATTGATGCTGAAATAAAAACATTTACCACATTGAGACATAAGACATACACAAGATTAAAACAAAACATACCGAAAAGTGTAGCGCTCCCCGCACCATACCGAGACCCGAGCCTCTGATCAGGCTCAGCTCAACGCACAATGCTAAAAACAAGTTATTTTAGTGACGCAGCCGACCAGCGGCGCATTAAAGCTACGAGCGGAGCTTACCAGCGGCGCATTAAAGTAGAGTACTCCCCAGTTGCTGGCCTTAAGCCTCAGCCGCCGGCTTGACGCCCCGACTCGCCCCAGAGCAACTTCCCAACTTCAGCCTGCCTCGCTCCGTGCCCCGTGCAGCGGATGTGATGTTGGATAGAGGAGAGGCAAGGTAGCGCAAGTGACAAGTGACAGGTGACAGGCTTTTATACTGCGGCCCCTACTTGCAATAGGGAGCTCACGCCAGCTCACTACACATGGAGCAGAAGCTACATTATATATGAATATTTGGTGAAAGTATCTTAAAAGTAATGCTGTAGTAGTATAATAATTCTGACAGTAATTCTGTAGAGCAACACATTACTTTGACATAGCAGTAACAAGTAACACATCATCTAAACCTTTTGGAGGTAACTTGCCCAACACAGATTAAAACATCAAGTAGAGTTTATTGATTTTTTAGGTTTTTGAAATCACAAAGATTTGACGCATCTACGACAAACAAGAGCCAAATAACATCTTAGAGTTTAAAAATGTCAAAAGATTACCAGCATTGAATAAAACAACAAAGTTAAAGTAATGAACAAATGCCCCCGACAGAGTCTGCATTCGTTTCCTTAAAGGAAACAAAATCTCCTTTTTTTCCACGATCTAACATTGTTTGTCGTCAGGATCATAGAATGAGGAACATTAGAAAATGATTAATTGTTACATGATGCGTGAGAAAGTCTCACGTCTAGGAGGTGGCAGCCTTTGGTATTTTGTCCTGTTCTGCTTAATGACTTTTGCATGACTGTAAAAATCAATTACTGTAATCATGTGTTCATCCAGGTGTCATAATCTGGCCCTGACAGCTCCGAGATTCTCATTATCTCAAAACACTTTGACTTGAATATTTCATTAATGTTGAAGATAATTCACATTTTTCCCACCGTCAACATTTAAAAGAAAACCTATTTTACAATGTTGTGTCTTCTCCGTGTTCCAACACTGTTCCTCATCAAAACATCAACGGGTCCAAACCACAGCCTTGTGGAGCTCCGTCTATTTTCTCCAAGTTCCACTGTTCCTCACAGAACTGGAGTTGTGTTTAGCTCCATTCACACTTAATTCAGGAACTTCTAGTACTTCTAGAGTCTTTGGGCTGTCAACCCAAAGAGTCTCTTCTTCACTTTTCTATCTAAAAAAGATGTGAATGAGTCCAAAAACACATGCATGTGAAAACTGGTGATAGAAGCAAACTAGTGACATAGATTTGACCACAGAGTTCCATGGTTTGAAAGTTACACACCCCAGCTTTATTCACACATATGTAAGTTTCCTGTTTGTGTCAGTGTGTGGCAGGGCCGGCCTGAACTCCAGGATCGTGGGAGGCGCCCTTTCGAATCCTGGAAACTGGCCATGGCAGGTCTATGTCCAGACCACCGACGCCCGGGGCATCAGCTACGCCTGTGGGGGTTCTCTGATCAGCAAGCAGTGGGTCATGACCGCCGCACACTGCCTCATAGACAGGTTAGCATACATTAGCATTGCCATATTTAACACTAGAACACATTGCCATCATGGATCTATTATAATAACTGGATAGGGTATTACTAGCTTGTAGCTGAATAACCCATGTGCTCGGGGGATTCTCGCGGTACTGCAGACTGAACCAGACTAAATTCACGTGGGCTACCCAGAAATGTTCCCCATAGAACTCAATGTAAGTCAAAACAGCTCAACCTCAGCTGACAGAGAACCTGACAGAGAACCTACAGCTTTCATAAAGGTCAGATTTTGTGGGGATTTTAGTGTCCCTTGTCATCCTGAACTTTTTTTCTTCTTAAATCCTTCAGTTTTGTTTAAATCCACACTTTAGTGCCACAAACTCTGCTCGTCTAACTCCCGCTCTGATGAACTGCTCTGATTGGTCAGAGCGCAGCCGAGCCCCTGAGCCACTGAGCACAACCATTCATTTGAATAGGGCGCCATCTTGGATCGCCAGGGCTTGATTGCCATATTTAACACTAGAACACACTGCCATATTTAACACTAGAACACACTGCCATATTTAACACTAGAACACACTGCCATATTTAACACTAGAACACACTGCCATATTTAACATTCGGACTTCCACAATAATGAAACTACAAGAACTCCCATTTTGATTGCTCCCGTTCAAACAAACGGAATTCTGAGAAATTGCCACAAAAAATGTATTTCTGTTTTTCTTTTCACTGGTTTGAATATAAATTATTTTTTACCTTTACTCATTTTAATAGGTGCTTGAACTGTAAATTATAATACAGCCAAAAGCAGTTTGTTGAAAAGCTTTAACATGCTAACTGACAGCAAGTAAACAGTATGTTGCTACAATAACTAGTCCAGGCTAAGTTGATATTGTTAAAAATAATGACAGAATAAAACTAATAATAATAATAATAATGCGTCGGTTTTATAGAGCGCTTTTTAGTACCTGTCACACTCACCATTCTGGCATCACTTCTGAGCTCGACAGGCTGCAAAGTGGGCGGAGCTTTTTAGCCGCACATGAAATGACTGTGAAACCATGACATAGATGTTGTTTAAACTTTTGTCTTTGAAAGTAAAAGAAACATACCTTGATAGTTAAAAAACGATTTCCAATTGTTGATGGGACACAGAGTTTTTATTATCAGGAAGTAACAGGTCCACAGCCTTGTTCCTTTGCCTTTTCCTCAACATTACGTCTTCTTTTGGGTTCAAATAACACTTTTCATTGTCACAAATTTCTGCATAGCTGTTTTTCACAAAGTTTCTGCAGGTCCACAGGCCAAACTGGTCAACAGGCTGGACTACAGACCAATATTTGCCTACAGACTATAGCTTTGGGAAATTGCGACGAAAAGATTTTTTAAGAAATCAAAAACTACAGCTGTCAGTATAACAGATTATGATTGGAGCTGACTCTGTTTTAAAACTAGGACTCCCACAAGTATGAAACTTCCAGAGCTGTCATTTTGACTGCTCCCATTCAAACCAATGGAGTTCTGAGAAGTTGCCCCAAAAAGTTTTCACTAACTTTATTAAAGATGCAGTTAGCGATGTTGTTAGCTCAGCCGTAGCACCAACTCCAAACCACTCCCCCCTCCCCTCTCCTCTCCACCAAACCAAACATCCAGCGTTTCTTTTTCTTTGACAAAACATGGAGAGTGGGCGGCAAGCGTGAAATTGGCCTTTTCTGTTCAGCCATTTTAGGTTTTAGAAAATCCGATTGCTCTGGTGAACTCGCGAGAAACACGAAGAGGGTGAAGGCGGTAAACACATCCCATTGGTTCGTTGGGGATGAACGAATCCCATTGGTTTATTTTTATCGGTCCGTTCCAAAATATGTGTTATCAATTTTTGGAGACTACAGGCATCTGGTCAATTCCATTACTATTTGAAAACACATGATTACTCGACTACTTTTAGGGTTTAAGAGACGTTTTCCCACGATATTTTAAAAAAATACACCTGGAAAAAATCACTGTCTGCATCTTTAAAAGTAAGTAATTCATAAGGTTTTAACGCACTTTTGCTGAATATACAGTAACTTGAAATACAGAAAAAAAAAAAATATTTGAAAAGCTAATGCTAACACTAAAGACAAAATGCTAACGGCTGACAGTTAACAGTGTGTTGCTATGGTAACTAGCACTTGCTACGACGGCTGCTACTCACATTTCAGAAAAACAATGACATAGAAATAAACTACAGACAGAAACAAAAAAGTAACAAGAAAATAAATGACACTTCTAAATCTAAAAGCTGTCGAATTGACTGCTCTGGGAGTTAATTAATTCACAAATCCGGTTTTATCTCCAGGATAGCGAACCTGACCAAAGTGTACCTGGGCCTTCAGACTCTGTCGGGTCCGAACCCGAACGCGGTGGTAAAAGACGTAGTGTCCGCAGTGACCCACCCGCAGTTCAACAGCAGCGGCGTGTTGGACCACGACATCGCTGTGATCAAGATGGCCGACACCGTCACCTACAGCAGCTACATCCAACCGGTCTGTCTGGCCAAGAGCAACTCCACCATCGACTCGGGACAGAGCTCGTGGGTCGCAGGCTGGGGGCTGCTGCAACAAGGTCAGAATCTTAGCCTCTAAATAGAGAGACAATGCTAACAGGGACGAACCAAGGGACAACTAGTGATGGGCAGAGCCCTGTAACACAGCGGCTTTCTTAACACAGTTTCAAACGTGTCAAAGCCTCTGAGCTAGCTCAACCTATAACACCGACATCTAGTGCATCAATGTAATAGTTACAGCTTCTAAATAGCAGTAGTTGATTTATTGTTCCAAATAAATGTGGTTTCATATGTAGTCAAAAACAACAGTTTTTCAACAGTTATTTGTTTTAGTCAGTTCTTGATGCTTTAGAAAAAATAATCACTAACATTTTGCAAAACTGTCTCTTCTCTTCCCGACGTTATTAAGAACTCTTGATTCATCATTTATACTGAAAGCAAACACTAAGAAACTGTTGATATAAGCAGCTTATGGACAGGACACTACTTACTTTAGGAAAGTCAGGAATATGTCAAGTGGGTCTGTCTTAAAGTCGTTAAAGGGGCAGAATAAAGAGAGGTGTTGTGTCTTTCTTAACCACAGGCGGCAGCAGTCTTTCCAACACTCTCCAGGAGCTGTGTGTTCCGGTGGTGGAGGACGCTGACTGTAGCTCTCTGCTGCGGCTCAACATCCCAAAGAACATTCTGTGTGCCGGGTCTGTGGGCGGGGAGGGCATCTGCCAGGTCAGCCCTCTACACTCTCTCTCTCAGGGCCTCGTGGCTCCTCCCACAGGAAAACTAAAAGCTCCTCCTGCACATTTCATTTAGTGTATGAGTTTCATTTGAACAGGGACAGTACACATTCATCAACATTACTGTAAATGTAGTTCCCAAGTGTAGTCCCAGAGGCGCGGAGTAAAATACCATCAAAAAACACTGCAACATTACAATGTAAAGGTAACATACATGTTCCGTAGAATTAGTAAAAAATATTTAATTTCATTAAAACATTTAAAAATAAATACAATATCATGCTTCAAATCATGAATGGTTACAAGCATGTCCCATAAACCTGCTTTTAAAAGTCCTGAGTGTAGCGTTCTTTTGTCTGTGAACTGGTTCTGCGCACCGCGAAGGCCGAGATGGAACAGCTGTGATGAGCCTCATGTGACCAGATCTGCATCACCATAAAACTATGAAAATCCAAGGCTGCAAAAATAGATTAAAAGATTCTGCGCTCAGCATTGACCAGGATCTAAAGCTGTGTTTTAAACCTTTGAGCACATCTATTCTGTTCAGTAAAGCAATATTTAGTGCATGCAATTAAATCGATACCGTAGAGCAAAGACAGTTCAGACCAAAAGTTTGGACACACCCACCCGACTCAAGAGTGTTTTATCTTCATGACTATCACAGTTGTAGATTCACACTGAAGGCCTCAAAACTAGGAATGAACTCATGTGGAATTATGTACGTACCTAAAATAAAAAAAAGTATGAAACAAGTGAAAATAGTTTTATTCTCGGTTCTTCAAAGTAGCACCTTTTGCTCTGATACTGCTTCACTCTTGGCATTCTCTGTATGAGCTTCAAGAGAACCTGAAATGGTCTTCAACAGTCTTGAAGGAGTTCCCATGATGCTTAGCACTTGTTGGCCCTTTCTCCTTCACTCTGTGGTCCAGCCCCAAAACCATCTGGACTGGGTTCAGGTCCGGTGACTGGAGGCCGGGTCAGCTGGCCCAGTACACTGTAAAAAAGAAAAAGTTAGTTCAACTCAAAATTTCAAAGCAACCAGCTGCGAAAGATTTTTGAGTTGACGGCATTAACTTAATTGTTCACGTTTTGAAGAACTGCACTTATTAAGTTGAGGCAGCTAAGTTTTCCAAGTTCTGCCAACTAAGAATTAAATTCAAGTTACCGGAAATTTCAAGCCCACATTAAACCATCATGATGTTTATTTATAAAGCGCATTTTACAAACCAAGGTCACTTAGGCAGGGGAAACCGGAGCACCCGGAGGAAACCTATGCAGACACAGAGAACATGCAAATTCCACACAGAAAGGCCCTGTTCCGACCGGGATTTGAACCCAGGACCTTCGTGTCAAGAAGTGAGAGTGCTATCCACTCAGCACACACTGTGAACCTGATTAGTGGAAATCTAATGTTTCTAAGACTGACCCAGGGAATATACAGGGCTACTTTGGCTTGGCCCTGTCCATTACAGTTGGTAAAAATAAATACAATGATTTTTTTGGTCAAATTAATTTGGTAATTAAATGAGCAAACGAAGATAAGTTGACCTCACTCTAGCTCGGTGAACTGTAAAAAATACAACTCAAAATCACCTTACTCAGATTTTTACATTCACTGACAATAAAATCACCAGTTAGAACTGGAACTGTCTGTTGTGAGCCACTTGAACTCACTTTCAGAAGTTCACTACAACTTCAAAGTAAATACATCAAATAAGATGAACTTTTCATCAGAAACTTCTGAAAGTGAGTTCAAGTTGCTCACAACAGACAGTAGAAGTTCCAACTTGAAATTTTATTGTCAGTGAATGCAAAAATCTTAGTAAGGTGAACAATTTTGAGATGTATTTCTTACAGTGTACCCCATCCCTCTCCTTATTGGTCAAACAGCCCTTACACAGCCTGGTGTGGGTCTACAGTCAATAGTCATGAAAAGAAAGGACACTCATTGAATGAGAAAGTGTGTCCAAACTTTTGGTCTGTACTGTATATGTTTCACTTTCGCTTTTTCTCAGAGTAATTTACATTTGCAAATGACCTCCACAAGGTGGCGCTTGTAGTGCCTCAGGTGTTGCAAATGTATGTTGGTGCAAATATTCACATGTGCGGTACGGCACGCACCTTTGAGTGGCATTTGTCTAAAGCTAAACCAGGATCAACCGATGCAGAAGTCCTGTCAATAATATAATACAGCCCTGAGCAGATACTGCTGTAATCTGACGATGAGGAGGAGAACTCTACACAAACAGCTGCTAGCTTAAACTTGTTAGCCTCAAAGTGCAGTCAGATTCAGATTCACTGAGATGAAGTGGTCACACAGGGTACAGGGAGTGGACTCTGAGCTGGTCTGTGGTTGCAGGGGGACTCGGGGGGCGCCCTGGTGGTCAAACAGGGAACTACATGGATCCAAACGGGGATCGTGAGTGGCTCCGTGGGCTGCGCCCTCCAGGACAAACCCGCGCTCTACGCTGAGGTGGCAGAGTTCCAGGCCTGGATCCAAGGCCACGTCCAGACAGACTCTGACAACCTCCCTCTGTTCATCACATTCAGCTCTCCAGGAGCTCTGGGCTCCAACTGTGGGAGAACCACCACTGCACCTCCTACTACTACTACTGCACCTCCTACTACTACTACTGCACCTCCTACTACTACTACTGCACCTCCTACTACTACTACTGCACCTCCTACTACTACTACTGCACCTCCTACTACCACCACTGCACTTCCTACTACTACTACTGCACCCCCTACTACTACTACTGCACCTCCTACTACTACTACTGCACCTCCTACTACTACTACTGCACCTCCTACTACTACTACTGCACCTCCTACTACCACCACTGCACTTCCTACTACTACTACTGCACCTCCTACTACTACTACTGCACCTCCTACTACTACTACTGCACCTCCTACTACTACTACTGCACCTCCTACTACTACTACTGCACCTCCTACTACTACTACTGCACCTCCTACTACTACTACTGCACCTCCTACTACTACCACCACTGCACCTCCTACTACTACTACACTGCACCTCCTACTACTATACTACTGCACCTCCTACTACTACTACTGCACCTCCTACTACTACTACTGCACCTCCTACTACTACCACCACTGCACCTCCTACTACCACCACTGCACCTCCTACTACTACCACCACTGCACCTCCTACTACTACCACCACTGAACCTACTACTACTACTGCACCTCCTACTACTACCACACCTCCTACTACTACTACTGCACCTCCTACTACTACTACTGCACCTCCTACTACTACCACCACTGCACCTCCTACTACTACCACCACTGAACCTACTACTACTACTGCACCTCCTACTACTACTACTGCACCTCCTACTACCACCACTGCACCTCCTACTACTACTACCACCACTGCACCTCCTACTACTACTACCACCACTGCACCTACTACTACTACTGCACCTCCTACTACTACTACTGCACCTCCTACTACTACTACTGCACCTCCTACTACTACTACTGCACCTCCTACCACTACTACTGCACCTCCTACTACTACTGTACCTCCTACTACTACCACCACTGCACCTCCTACTACTACTACTGCACCTCCTACTACTACTACTGCACCTCCTACTACTACCACCACTGCACCTCCTACTACCACCACTGCACCTCCTACTACTACAACTACTGCACCTCCTACTACTACCACCACTGCACCTCCTACTACTACTACTGCACCTCCTACAACTACTACTACTACTACTGCACCTCCGACTACTACTACTGCTCCTCCTACTACTACAACTACTGCACCTCCTACTACTACTACTGCACCTCCTACTACTACCACCACTGAACCTACTACTACTGCACCTCCTACTACTACTACTGCACCTCCTACTACTACTACTGCACCTCCTACTACTACAACTACTGCACCTCCTACTACTACCACCACTGCACCTCCTACTACTACCACTGCACCTCCTACTACTACAACTACTGCACCTACTACTACTACCACTGCACCTCCTACTACTACCACTGCACCTCCTACTACTACTACTGCACCTCCTACTACTACTACCACCACTGCACCTACTACTACTACTGCACCTCCTACTACTACGACAGCACCTCCTACTACAACTACTGCACCTCCTACTACTACTACTGCACCTCCTACTACTACTACTGCACCTCCTACTACCACCACTGCACCTCCTCCAACTACCACTACTGCACCTCCTACAACTACTACTACTACTAGTGCTCCTCCTACTACTACAACTACTGCACCTCCTACTACTACCACACCTCCTACTACTACTGCACCTCCTACTACTACTACTGCACCTCCTACTACTACCACTGCACCTCCTACTACTACTACTGCACCTCCTACTACTACCACCACTGCACCTCCTACTACTACTACTGCACCTCCTACTACTACTACTGCACCTCCTACGACTACCACCACTGCACCTCCTACAACTACTACCAATACTACTGCACCTCCTCCTACTACTACGACAGCACCTCCTACTACTACTACGACAGCACCTCCTACTACTACCACCACTGCACCTCCTACTACTACTGCACCTCCTACTACTACTACTGCACCTCCTACGACTACTACTGCACCTCCTACTACTACCACCACTGCACCTCCTACTACCACCACTGCACCTCCTACTACTACCACTGCACCTCCTACTACTGCACCTCCTACTACAACTACTGCGCCTCCTACGACTACTACTGCACTTCCTACTACTACCACCACTGCACCTCCTACTACTACTACTGCACCTCCTACGACTACTACTGCACCTCCTACTACAACTACTGCACCTCCTACTACTACTACTGCACCTCCTACGACTACTACTGCACCTCCTACTACTACCACCACTACACCTCCTACTACTACCACCACTGCACCTCCTACTACAACTACTGCACCTCCTACTACTACTACTGCACCTCCTACTACTACCACCACTGCACCTCCTACTACTACCACCACTGCACCTCCTACTACAACTACTGCACCTCCTACTACTACTACTGCACCTCCTACGACTACTACTGTACCTCCTACTACTACCACCACTGCACCTCCTACTACAACTACTGCACCTCCTACTACTACTACTGCACATCCTACTACCACTACTACTGCACCTCCTACTACTACCACCACTGCACCTCCTACTACTACCACTACTGCACCTCCTACTACTACTACTGCACCTCCTACCACTACCACTGCACCTACTACTACCACTACTGCACCTCCTCCTACCACTACTACTGCACCTCCTCCTACTACGACAGCACCTCCTACTACTACCACCACTGCACCTCCTACTACTACTACTGCACCTCCTACTACCACTACTGCACCTCCTACAACTACTACTACCACCACTGCACCTACTACTACTACTACTGGACCTCCTACTACTACCACTACTGCACCTCCTACTACTACTACTGGACCTCCTACTACTACCACTACTGCACCTCCTACTACTACTACTACTACTTCACCTCCCACTACAACTACTGCACCTCCTACTACTACTACTACTGCACCTCCCACTGCTACAACTACTACTACTGCACCTACCACTACTACTGCACCTCCTACTACTACTACTTCACCTCCTAACTGCTACTACTACTACTGCACCTCCTCCTACTACTACCACCACTGCACCTCCTCCAACTACCACTACTGCACCTCCTCCAACTACCACTAACCATATATAACGTCAGGATAATGTGTGTATAACTTTACACTATATATAACGTCAGGATAATGTGTGTATAACTTTACACTATATATAACGTCAGGATAATGTGTGTATAACTTTACACTATATATAACGTCAGGATAATGTGTGTATAACTTTACACTATATATAACGTCAGGATAATGTGTGTATAACTTTACACTATATATAACGTCAGGATAATGTGTATGTAACTTTACACTATATATAACGTCAGGATAATGTGTGTATAACTTTACACTATATATAACGTCAGGATAATGTGTGTATAACTTTACACTATATATAACGTCAGGATAATGTGTGTATAACTTTACACTATATATAACGTCAGGATAATGTGTAGATAAAGTGTTGTACAGTGAACATTCTGTTATGTAGTTCTGAGCGTGTGTGGACATACTTTAGTCGTTATGGGGGAGGGGCAGTGTGCATGACATAAGCCCAGTTCAAAGATCACTGAAATCTCCGGTTCGCTTCAGCTCAGTCCAGTCCAGTCCAGTCCAGTCCAGTCCAGTCCAGTCCAGTTCAGTTTGTTTGAGCTCAAAGCGACACATTTCATACAACAACAAAAAGACAAATGTTTTTTACGTGTTATTTCTCGCTGAAAAGGAGCAGGCAGATATAAAATACTTAAACCCCTTCACTTAAAGTCACTAATGCTCTAGGACTGAAGATCCTGCTGCTGTTGCCTCTTTCAGTAGCTCTCTGCCTTTATCGTCCTGGTAAAGTAGCTCTCTGCCTTTATCGTCCTGGTAAAGTAGCTCTCTGCCTTTATCGTCCTGGGACAGTAGCTCTCTGCCTTTATCGTCCTGGTAAAGTAGCTCTCTGCCTTTATCGTCCTGGGACAGTAGCTCTCTGCCTTTATTGTCCTGGGACAGTAGCTCTCTGCCTTTATCGTCCTGGGACAGTAGCTCTCTGCCTTTATCGTCCTGGGACAGTAGCTCTCTGCATTTATCGTCCTGGGACAGTAGCTCTCTGCCTTTATCGTCCTGGGACAGTAGCTCTCTGCCTTTATCGTCCTGGGACAGTAGCTCTCGGCCTTTATCGTCCTGGGACAGTAGCTCTCTGCATTTATCGTCCTGGGACAGTAGCTCTCGGCCTTTATCGTCCTGGGACAGTAGCTCTCTGCAATTATCGTCCTGGGACAGTAGCTCTCTGCAATTATCGTCCTGGGACAGTAGCTCTCTGCCTTTATCGTCCTGGGACAGTAGCTCTCTGCATTTATCGTCCTGGGACAGTAGCTCTCTGCAATTATCGTCCTGGGACAGTAGCTCTCTGCCTTTATCGTCCTGGGACAGTAGCTCTCTGCCTTTATCGTCCTGGGACAGTAGCTCTCTGCCTTTATCGTCCTGGGACAGTAGCTCTCGGCCTTTATCGTCCTGGGACAGTAGCTCTCTGCAATTATCGTCCTGGGACAGTAGCTCTCTGCAATTATCGTCCTGGGACAGTAGCTCTCTGCCTTTATCGTCCTGGGACAGTAGCTCTCTGCCTTTATCGTCCTGGGACAGTAGCTCTCTGCCTTTATCGTCCTGGGACAGTAGCTCTCTGCCTTTATCGTCCTGGGACAGTAGCTCTCTGCCTTTATCGTCCTGGGACAGTAGCTCTCTGCCTTTATCGTCCTGGTAAAGTAGCTCTCTGCCTTTATCGTCCTGGTAAAGTAGCTCTCTGCCTTTATCGTCCTGGTAAAGTAGCTCTCTGCCTTTATCGTCCTGGTAAAGTAGCTCTCTGCCTTTATCGTCCTGGTAAAGTAGCTCTCTGCCTTTATCGTCCTGGGACAGTAGCTCTCTGCATTTATCGTCCTGGGACAGTAGCTCTCGGCCTTTATCGTCCTGGGACAGTAGCTCTCTGCAATTATCGTCCTGGGACAGTAGCTCTCTGCAATTATCGTCCTGGGACAGTAGCTCTCGGCCTTTATCGTCCTGGGACAGTAGCTCTCGGCCTTTATCGTCCTGGGACAGTAGCTCTCTGCCTTTATCGTCCTGGGACAGTAGCTCTCTGCCTTTATCGTCCTGGGACAGTAGCTCTCGGCCTTTATCGTCCTGGGACAGTAGCTCTCGGCCTTTATCGTCCTGGGACAGTAGCTCTCTGCCTTTATCGTCCTGGGACAGTAGCTCTCTGCCTTTATCGTCCTGGGACAGTAGCTCTCTGCCTTTATCGTCCTGGGACAGTAGCTCTCTGCCTTTATCGTCCTGGGACAGTAGCTCTCTGCCTTTATCGTCCTGGGACAGTAGCTCTCTGCCTTTTATCGTCCTGGGACAGTAGCTCTCTGCCTTTATCGTCCTGGGACAGTAGCTCTCTGCAATTATCGTCCTGGGACAGTAGCTCTCTGCAATTATCGTCCTGGGACAGTAGCTCTCTGCCTTTATCGTCCTGGGACAGTAGCTCTCTGCCTTTATCGTCCTGGGACAGTAGCTCTCGGCCTTTATCGTCCTGGGACAGTAGCTCTCGGCCTTTATCGTCCTGGGACAGTAGCTCTCGGCCTTTATCGTCCTGGGACAGTAGCTCTCGGCCTTTATCGTCCTGGTAAAGTAGCTCTCTGCCTTTATCGTCCTGGGACAGTAGCTCTCTGCCTTTATCGTCCTGGGACAGTAGCTCTGCCTTTTATCGTCCTGGGACAGTAGCTCTCTGCCTTTTATCGTCCTGGGACAGTAGCTCTCGGCCTTTATCGTCCTGGGACAGTAGCTCTCTGCCTTTATCGTCCCGGTAAAGTAGCTCTCTGCCTTTATCGTCCCGGTAAAGTAGCTCTCTGCCTTTTTATTATGCAGATTTTCCCGTCCAATCATGTTTACTTTGATCCTTCTTCCTCTTCCCTTCTGTTCTTGTCTGGGTCACACTGGGGACTTTTGCGGGTGTATTCCAATGTGGTTTTACTGCAAATGTCCAACGAATGCCTCTCTCTCTCTTCCTCTCAGGAGTGGGGAGCCAGCTGCCCTCACTCGTTCGTCGGTGCCTTTAAGCTTCAGTTCGACATGTCGTGGACTCCTGTGGACGACCTGGAGAAGAAAGACGCAGAGCTGGCGATTATGGACAAGCTTTTATCTCAGCAAATGGCGTCTCCCTCGAGTGCGGCGCTCAACTTCAAAGGACTGACGGAGTGAATGAACCACAGGACCACTTTTCTACAGACACCATTTAAGACGTACATTGTGAGAGTATAGCCAGAGGTGGGGAGACTGTCTTCCAGGGGCCATATTGAGAATACAGTTCATGTGGTTACGTTTAATTTAACTTGCAGCAGTGTGTGAGTGTGTTAGCAACTTTAGCATCTGCGGCTATATTTTGTATTTTTCAACATGGGATGTACTTTGGGGAAATCTTTTATTCAATTTGTATTTATTAGTTATCTTTAGATTTCAATGATCTTCTTTAGAATTTAAACCAAAGCTGAAGAAGGCTCTGTGTTGTGGGCAGATTGATGGGTTTGATGAATTATGATGAGGTATAACAGGCCATTGTAGCTCCATGAAGCTGCAAACCTTTCATTGGGTTTTGATTCCCAGTCATGTAAAGTGGAGATGGTACATTTCTCCACTGTGAGATCAATAAAGTTTTATTTATCATAGTTTGCAGAAGTGGAAAGGTCTGAGGGCCGCAGAGAGACGTGAACCGGACCGTAGGTGTCCCTCGGGCCACACTTTGCCCAGGTCATAGTTCATTATGACTCGATGGTTCAATGTGAAAGTCAGGTCAAGATTGAAAAGATTCCAGTCGTTTGAGAATTTACCTCTTCACTTGTTTTTATTTATTTCTAATTTGTCAAAGATGTCTTAAGGGAATAAAAAATACTTAAATGTCTCCTGAGGTCATTCATTCATTTTATAAAAACATTGGTGTTAGATTGCAGTGATGGTGAACATACATGGAAATAAATACAACAAACACATTTTATTGCACATTTTTGATTTCTCCTTATTTTCCGCCAAACATTAACAAAATCGTGAATCACATTATTTAAAACACGTAAAAGACAAACATCTGGCACTGCATTATTTAGGCTTTAAGTAACAAACTGATTTTAGTCACACTCTAGTTTAGCCCTCGGTAAATAACAATCTTAAGCGTTCGTTAGTGAATACTTTAATTAGCGGTTAATTGGTTTTATTAAGCACTTATTGGTTATTCTACACAGCCTAATCCAACACCAAACTAATTGACACTTTCCCATTTGGGTTAGGGCTAGCATTAGCATTAGGGTACACTTAGTGAGGGCGAATCTAAAGTGTTTCCCAGACATTTTTACTCTAAACTTCTTTACATTTTGCTAAAAGGTTCATAAAAATATCAGCGAGTGTCCGATGACGTAATGTCCTGCAGGAAAGAGTTGACGTGTGGGAGGAGGCGCCAGTTGTCTGTCGCGATGTCGAAGGTAACGGCGTCTTCTTCTCTCCTGACCTTCAGCAGCAGGTGCGACAGCGGCGGCAAAAACACCATCGCCCTCACCTCGTGCCAATCGCCGCCGCCGCCGTCATCCTCCAACACGAACGTCTTTAAGTGTCTTTGCAGCAGCTCCTCCAACGCTCCTCGGTCCAAACCACAGCAGAACAGGCTCTCGGCAGACTCCACCATCTCCTCAGATCCGCCGCAGATCTCGGACCATAAAGCGTTGAACAGGTCCAGTCTGCGGAGCGGGCCCCAGGCTGGCGGCACGGGCACCGGGCAGAACGTCTGTTGGAACGAGACCTCGATGTTGGGAAGGTTTGAGTACCAGGTGAGTCCGTCCTGCGTGGTGAAAACTGCGCTTGCGTTAAGAGTGGTGGGATACGGCTGCCTGGGCCTTAACTTCAGGCTGATGACGGGAGGAGGCGTTTCCCTGAGCAGGCACGGCACACTGACGTCTCTCAGCGCCTCGTAATGGTCGTCCGTGAGGCTCAGGTGGAGGCGGATGCTGAACAGCCGGTCGAACGGAGACCCCGGCTGGTTCTCCTCACTGTGAACCAGCTGGTAGCGAACGGTCACTTCTGACGCAAATTCCGGGCCGTCAAACTGAGATCTATAATCCACGATCGCGTCTACGGATCCGCACGAATCCTTTACGTCCTCCGGAAGCTGGCGTGGCTCGGTCGCGTTCAGTTCTACCAGTTTTAAAACGTCCTTCTTGGTTCTGTGAATAGTTAAAATGCTAGCCTGGCCCTCGCTCTCTGCTACGATGCAAGACAGGGATCTTTTCTTGACCTGGTCTCCCTCCGTGGCGGTGCCTCTCTCCAACACCCCGGCGAGCTTCTCTTTGGATAAATTGGTGAGGAGGGTGTAGTAGAGGCGGCTGTGGTCCTGGATGTCTGTGTCTCTGTAGCTGCTGGACATGTGCTGGAGGACATCCGCTAAAGTCACGAGCATAGAGTCCAGGTCTGGGTGTGTTAGCAAACAGCGACACACTGCTAATATACTGTTGCCCAGTCTCCAGTTCCCGAGCGGAGACGAGGCCGAGGCTACGACTACGGCCGAGAGGAAGAGCAGAGTGGGGCGTTGTGGGATGTCCCTCTCCTCGGCCACACGGGACAACACTCTCAGATGGCAGGTGAGCTCTTGTGATTTAAGGTTTGTGAGTGACACCTTTGTGATTGTCCTTTGAAAGCCCTGGAGGAGCGCCACGGTGAAGTTGGAGTCCGGCAGCTTGGACTGGGTCTCGTTGGCCAAGTTGATGAGTTGCGGGGCCAAGTGTGTGTGGTCCAGGTAGAGTTCACACAAGCGTTTTATCAGATGGCGGGAGAAGTTCTCGATGTGACCAAAGTGAGACAGGAAAAGGAAAGAGGCTCTGAAAAAGGTGCTAACAGTGTCACGGTTTCCCCCATTACCCACAATGCCGAGCAGAGCCACCAGGTGCTCGTACAGATAGGCCAGACCCTTCCCCTCCTCGTCCTCTCCGTCCTCCACATACACCATGGACAGAAGGTTGAACCGAGTGAGCATCGTCACGCGGTCGTTAAACACTGTCGGAACTAAAGCCGTCGCCAACTGTGGAGTGAAGAGCACAGGGAGCACCTCGTCCCTGTCGCCGGAGCCGATGGGACGGTTCTCAGGAAAGTGCAGGAGGCAGTCCAGGTAGAAGAGCTTCTCTGCTGTGCTGAGCAGCGGGTGTTGGGACAAAACAACCAAACGTTTAAGAAGAAACTCTTCATCTTCTGCACTGAACAAACTGTCTGTGAACGCACTCTTCATCAGGAGAGTCGTGTGAAGGAGGGACACCTTAGAACAAAAACATTGTTATATGAACAGTTACATATCAGCCTAGCTAATGCTAATGCTAATGCTGTCAAAGTCACACAGTGAAGCTGATGTAAGCAGTGATAACAAAACAAACCTCAGTGGTTCCCAGCAGCCGCAGCAGCTGCGCTCTGAAGATGGAGGGGGAGACTCCTGGGACCATGGCCACCAGCTCGATCAGCTTCTGGAGCAGAGAGGACTGGGCCAGAGACGTGAGCAGATACGAGTCCTCGAGCAGAGAAGAAAGAATGGAGCGCAGCTCTTTACACTCAGGGCCAGTCTGAAGGGTGGGGACAGCACCCATCGGACCCAGGACCAGAGAGGACAGAGCACTAACGTCTTTACCGTTCATCAGATCGGAGTCCTGAGTCACTTCACTGGCCACACACACATCTCCCTCCAGTAAAGCTTTCAGCTGCTCTGGTCCAGACCCCGTGTCCTGAGCCAGCTGCAGCACAGAGTTCCTCAGGACCAGAGAGTAGAGTTCAGTGTACGCCTGGTGCAGCCTGGAGCTCTCCCTCTGTCGCAGAGCCCCGAGGAGCTCCAGGTGTTGAGACAGAAGCCCAGGGCAGCAGGCCTCCATCTCCCTCAGGCAGTCACAGGCAGTGGCCCTCAGAGAGCGGGAGCTGCCGTCTGAGTGGAGCTCGCTGGTGTCCTGGACGATCACCAGCAACAGCTCCAGGACGTCCTGCACCGCACTGGAGCGACGGCGGACACAGTCTGTACACACCAACACAGACGTGACGGCGACCAGCAGGTGGCAGCGCAGAGGGAACACCTTTGGAGAGCACTGGGAGAACACAGACATCAGCTCCAGGGCCGAGTCTTCAGCCACAGACACCGAGGGACACAGCACCAGAGGATGCTCACAGTACGGAGCGAGCAGGAGCACCTGGAGGAAAACACACAGAATTCACTCATTCATTATGATGCACTGGTTCTGTTTACAATGAGGAAGTATCATGTTATCCACATGTAGAGGTATAAAACTGGTGAAAGTATGGATACCACTATATAAAACATCTCTAGTACTTACATAACTTTGTACACACTTAAGTTGAAATGATGAAAGTAAAAGGCGTTTATGACAGACAACACATTGAAGTATACACACTAAACAAATTGATACCATTGTTTTATAAAGGCCAAAGATGAAAATATACAAAGACAATCAGGCGAGTTTTGATCTGGACTTAGAAGCATAGCTAATCACAATCTATTAATTATCTTAGAAGCATCGCTGATCATACCAAGCCTGTTTTCATGGCGCGTCACCGACTGCAAAGTAACTCATTTTAAAAAGTGAGATTAGAGTAGATATTCAAGTTTCACAGTAACGGAACCCAAATATAAAGAATGATTTTTCAAGGAAAAAATATGTAGTGGAGTAAAGTACTGGAGTAAAGTACTGACATCAGGAAAAAGTCCTCAAGTAAAACTACGTCCTCGTCCCTCGCTACATGTCAGCACAACACAACACTAAAGTATGATAAAGTATGATAAAGTATGATAAAGTATGATACAGTATGATACAGTATGATACAGTATGATACAGTATGATAACGTATGATAACGTATGATAAAGTATGATAAAGTATGATACAGTATGATACAGTATGATACACTATGATACAGTATGATACAGTATGATAAAGTATGATAAAGTATGATACAGTATGATACAGTATGATAAAGTATGATAAAGTATGATAAAGTATGATAAAGCATGATAAAGTATGATACAGTATGATACAGTATGATAAAGTATGATAAAGTATGATACAGTATGATACAGTATGATACAGTATGATAAAGTATGATACAGTATGATACAGTATGATAAAGTATGATAAAGTATGATAAAGTATGATAAAGTATGATACAGTATGATACAGTATGATAAAGTATGATAAAGTATGATAAAGTATGATAAAGTATGATACAGTATGATACAGTATGATAAAGCATGATAAAGTATGATACAGTATGATAAAGCATGGAGTGTAAATCAGACTGATGCGGTCCAGATGACAGTCCCTCCGTGGGACAGGCCCAGTCCTGGAGGTCTGAAGGCCGTGTACCTTGACATGATCCTGGGCTCTGTCATCCCGCAGCTCCCGCAGAAGCTCCGCATGGACCGCGTCTGCCGTGGTCCCGGAGGCCGACAGGAAGCGGGCTGGACTCCGGCAGAAGAGCAGGACCTTCTCGGCCCATTGCTCGGTCATGGCTGTCTCTGTGGGCTCAGCTTCTAATCCTCACACGGAACAAACACCATGAAAACACCCGACTGACTGTGACATGTGATGAGGAGACCACTTCCTTGTTTGGTCACGTGCTCTTCAGACGGTGACGGAGACGTGTCGCCCTCTACTGTGAGTAAACCGCATTACAGCCTAATAATAATAATGATAATAATAATAATAATAATAATAACAATAATACTGATAATAATAATCATAATAATAATAGTAATAATAATAATAATAAATAGATTTCATTGAAATAATGGCTTAGAAATAAAGACCCAAAATGTATTCCTGAACCAAAAGCCGTCAATATGACTGCTTTGAGAGATATGGTGTTATGCAAGGCAGGGTTTGGTTAATACTGTGATGGGAGACCTGTGGGAACACGAATGAGTCTGGTGTGTGGTCAATGGCATAGGTTGCCTCGCTTCTGTCAGTGTGCCCCAGGGCAGCTGTGGCTACAGTAGTTTATCACCACTGTGTTTGGAGAGAAAGATAATGATGTGAAGAGTCCATAAAGCGCTGTAAAAGTTAGGAGGCGTTACAGATCCATGGGTGGCGCTGAATGCAGCACTGACGCTGTAGAAGAAGAAGAAGTTGACCAATCAGGATCCGTGCTGCGGAAGAAAAAGGAAGTAGATTTCTGGCGCCATTTACAAGTTTGTTGTTGTTGTTTTTGATCCGCCGCAGTAATGGCTGAAAACACTTTTCCCGTGTTCAGTGTTGATGCTTTAGTTCATTTCTTTAGAACAGAAGTTTTAACAGGACAAGAATCAAAACACTTCAGCAAGAGTGACCTGGTCCCGACGCCCAAGGTACAGAAGTACCTTTGCTCTCTGTTCTCCATCTACGATATACCATCATCTGTTATGTATCTATACTCTAGTCTATTCTCTATTCTCTCATTTAACATTGTGTATCTTCTGCCTGGAATGGTCTCATTTAAACAATTACTGTTTATAAATGATAAATCTATGTGTGATTACTTGATTCATCGTTACTATATGGGTCTCCCTCCCTGTGGGTTTCCCTAGTTCTCCCCAAGGTTTCTCACGTTTTCCCACTGGGTTTTTTAAGAGTTGTTCCTTGTGGATGCAGGAGGGTCTTGTTGGACAGTTAGTGTCCAACAGAAAGGATTGGTGATGATCAGGACACTTTAGCATTCTACAACATGTATGGACATTTTCTTCTGTGTGTGCTTTATATTCTTCATGTGTTTTAACTGTTGATTCTCTGACCTGTGTTGGTGATTTCAATGGTTTTGTTAAGTCTCTGAGATGACTTCTGTTGTGACCTAGGGCTATACAAGAATAAATTGTATTGTATTGTATTGTACTATCTCAGTATTAGTCACTAACTGCTTCAGAGTCTGTTGGAACCTGGGGCTGTTGCAGAGTCAACATTCTGAAACTACCAGAACTCCCACAGCCGTCATTTTGACTGCTCCCATTCAGACCAGGGAAATACTGAGAAAATCCGTCAAAGAATGTTTAGCTTTTCACCATTAAAAGAAAGTAGTTATTATGATAGATCCATGGGTAATACTGGTGATCATAACTGCAGCTAAAGCTAATGCTAACCTCAGACAGGAACATCTGTAAAATCTCTGGTGGTAAATGAGTAAAAGGTAGAACTAGAATAAATAATGACATAGAAATAAACTGTAAAGAAACAGAAAAAGTCAGAGTTATGAAGAGAAAGTGAGATGAGGGATTAGCATTACTTTTCCAAAAACCCACACTTCCTAGTTTAATGTGTTGATGTTTCGTTCGCAGCCAGAGGTCATTCAGACGTTATACATGAGAGTCCTGCACCTGCTGTTCCGCTTCAAGCCCGAGTGTCACTCCATGGTCAGTCCTCTTTCTCAGGTGTTTATTTCACCTTTGTTGCCTTAGTTTTAAGTGTCCTTCTGCGTGGGCCACAGGTGCCTCTGCAGGCGAACATCCAGTACCCCCAGTATCAGGAGGGGGTCCTCTCCATCGTCAGCGTCTTCATCCGAATGTAAACTTTACACACACTACACACATGAAGCAAACACAATCAGGAAGATACTAATAATACTGCTCTCATTCAAACCAATGGGATTCTGACATATTAGCCCAAAAAGGTTTAGTTTTTCATCACATTTATGAGGGATTTATCTCATTTTAATACAACAGAAATGACAGAGAGCTACTTCTTCAGCAGTGGTAACAGGACGTCACAGACTAGGAAAGTGCTTTGGCTCTCGGTGCAAACAAGTCAAAAGCAGGAAACAGAATAAGGCATGATACAAATGTAAACACGTTTCTGAAATATTAAAATTACAATATTACAATCATTACAACAGGACATTAAGCAGTGCAGCCAAACGTGGAGGACACACAGTCATTAAATACCTTCATACAGGACAGTAACCTGCAGTAATGACATGTTTGAGTGTCCAAGAAGCACTTTATAAGTACAAATTATTATTATTATTATCATATTATTATTATCATTGTTGTTGTTATTATTGTCATTGTTGTTATTATTGTCATTGTTGTTGTTATTGTCATTGTTGTTATGAACTACAGTCAGATTGATATTTCTGAGTCTCCTTCTGCAGGCGACAGTTTCTGCCCATGTGCCTCTTCTTTGACTTCTCCATGAGTGATCTTCTGTCTCCGAGTGAGTATCCACTTCCTTCATAAATGACTGTAGTCTGAAGCTAAGCAGGGCAGGACCTGGTTAGTGCTGTGATGGGAGACCTCTGGGAACAGCAGGTGCCACAGTGGGGCGGCTGTAAAGTGCCAAACTGTGGTTGTGTCCTTAGGCAAGACACTTCCCCCACATTAGAATTAGTCTGGTGTGTGTGTGGATGGTTGGTGGTGGTGGGAGGGGCTTCTGTCAGTGTGCCCCAGGGCAGCTGTGGCTACAGTAGTTTATCACTGCAGAGTTTGGAGAGAGAGGATAATGATGAGAAGAGACTTTGAGAGTCCTGAAAACAGTTTTTTTTTTTATTCACTCGTGATTCATTGTATTTCTGACTAAAATAGATGTTTGAATGGATTTGGTCGCCTTGAGGGGCTTTATGAATAACATTGATCTGGAGACTTTAACACAGGAAATATTCTGCTTTTATGACGTGTCTTTCAGTTTAGTTTTTAACTTTTATGGAATTGAACAAACAACGATCTCAATAATTATCAATCTTTGACAATCTGTTTTTCAAATCTACGTCTAAAGCATCATCAATGATTGGAGTGTTCTCAGTAAAGTGTCACTTCAAGTATTTGGATTTTAAAAGGTTTTAACTGAAAAACTAAATTACTTTCATATACAAATATAAATATTTAAAACACCGACAGATCAAAGAGAAGGTTTCAGACAAAGATTAACATAAACACAACATAAAGAAATCACTAACTTTAAAAGTAATACAAATGTAAATGAACCTGAACAATGTGTAACGTGACGGTTTCTGTCAATTTTCTTCTAAAAATTAAACTTGAGAAAAAGAAAATTGTTCTGGTTTCACATTGAATTGGTTTGATATAAAAGAATGACTTT